GGGCGGGGCGGGGCGGGGCGGGGCTGGTGGTGGTGTTATTGTCAGCATTTTTAGTATCATAAACAAAATGCAACATGTTCTAAAGGTTGTTAGTCGGGCCTGATCGCCCGGATGATGTGTATACACTAGTTGATAGCAAGCGACACCGGGTGCGCATCCCCGCAGAGCTTTGCTTGTCGACATTGGGCCATGTCTCCACCGGACCAGACACGGAAAGATCGAAGCGTCAGGTCAAAGCTCACCCAGTAGAGTTTTGTTTGCCTCATCTTGCTGCGAGCCCTACTTTCATGTATCCGGGCGGCGTCATGGGGTCTCCAAGCATCTACGTCCCACGCAATCTTCTCAAGCGAGGTTGCCATGGTCTTTGGCGAGACGATAATCAGGGAGATGCCTCCCTTGAGTGCAATTGTCAAGGCGCAGGAAACAGCGGAGCAAGTCCTACTGATGTTCGCAACTTAGCCTGAACATGCCTGAAACAAGCAAGCCCATTCCGGTTGTGTGTTGTGTGCAGTGTAGCGTAAAGTCTAGTAAGGTGTGGCATAACAGAGTCTCGCAGAACATCGTGTCATATCTTCTGTCTTATACGGCACAGTGCTACCACGCCACATTATCAGGCGGTAGAATGTGCTACAGCACAGTATCGTGTCTTGCGGCTCGGTGTAGTGCAATATTAAGTTTGACATATTAGAGTGCATGCTCAGTCCAGTTTGCTTTAGTGTAGTATAGCACAGCATAGTAAAGTAGCACCTATTTTTGACTGTAGTACAGTTTTTGGGTAGAGTAGAGCAGAGCATAGTGGAGTATACTAGAGTACAGTATGGCATAGTACAGCATCGCAAGCAGAGCAGAGCACAGCACCGTGGAGGAGTAGCGTGGTAGAGTGGTGTAGAATAGAGTAAAGTAGAGTAGGGCAGCGCCGCGTAGCGCAGTGTAGTGTAGTGTAGCGTAGACTATAGTAGAGCACAATAGAACAGAGTACAGTAGAGAATTGAATAGTAAAGTAGAGCAGAGCAGGGTTAGAGTCCAGTAGAGTAGAGAAGAGTAGAGTAGGGTGCATCATGGTATAGGAAGATGCATCATGCATTAATTCGGAACGTTGGATCTCGCATGCATGGCCTTCTTATGGAGGGCAGCATTTTGTCGTGAATGATCCTACCGGTTGGGTAATCGAGGCATCTTGCTCCGGGCACAGAGTACATATTGCTACGAGGCATGCGTTTCCACGAAAGATTACGAGTATGATGCCAAATGTGCATTTGGTACTCATGTTTGCCGTTTGTTCGTGCAGTTCTCTGTGCAAATCGACCAAGCTTTGTTTTTTTAGCACCTGAACTGACTTGAACCGCATGTTAGCTTTATGGTCCCAGGCCAAAATTGCTTCCGTCGTGGTTGAGCAGGCAGGACGGTATTTGGACGCGGAAAGGCTCCAGTGGCTAACATGGCCCATGGCAACCAACGAGATAGAGACAGAGAGAGAGAGAGAAAGAGCAAGAGAATGAGAATGTCACTGAGAATTAGAATAAGAATGAGAGTGAGAATGAGACAAAGAAAGAAAAAGAAAGAGACAGAAACAGAGAGAGAGAGAGAGCGACAGAGACTGAGACTGAGACTGAGAGAGAAAGAGAGAGACAGAGAGGGCTTGACACGCCCCCTTGCCCCTGTGGAAGAAGAGAGACAGAGAGACAAAGACAGAGAGACAGAGATAGAGAGACAGAGACACAAAGACAGAGAGACAGAGAGACAGAGGGACAGAGGGACAGAGAGACGGAGACGGAGAGACAGACACAGAGACAGAGAGAGTGGGAGAAAGAGAGAGAGAGAGAGAGAGATATATATATATATATATATATTTATATATACATATAAAAAGATATACATATGCTCACACCCCCCTCCAAGACCTACCGGTATTGAAGGAGGAACTGTAAGATTACAGAGTTACATATCTCTTGTATGTTCACCTTACAAACCTACCATTCTGACAGCAGGGTTCGTTTTCTGTGCGCCTTGTTTGACCGAAACGAAGCGCAATGGAACGAGCGAAACGAAACGAAGCAAGGGTTCATTTCCAGTTAACAATTGACACAATTAAACGCAACACGTGGACAAGGACTAGGAGTTAATGGTACATCCTAATGTCAAGTCTTCCTATATGATCCCCTCCTTTCCGTGCTGTGTTTAACTGTCATGAAAAGACACATTGAATCAGTGAAATGAAGTGAAGCGTGTTCCTTTCCGTTACAAGTGAACTCAGCACACAGAAGCCTTACATCATGCATTAGTTGTAGGAATTCTTTTTGTCGTGATGTCATATGTCCTCAGCTTAATTTCACCTAACTTTCTATCCCACCAATCTGTTAAATCTGGNNNATGAAGCACTGTAGTGAATGATTGGTGTATTTCAATTAACTAAACACAGACTGGTCCACGAGAGCTGCAAGAGAATCCTAACGGTTGACCACTCCTCGCATCCCATGCAATGAAGAGAACATTTGATAAAAACAAGTGAGTGACAAGAACGTGTGCTTTCATTAGGTTGAGTTGTGCCTTGTTGGGAACGGAATATGCGGTTCACCTTTAGTTTTCCTTTCGTACACCATCAATCTCATAACACGTCAAGAATGAGAAAAGATGAGGATGTAAAAGTAAACAGATAAGGGAACAAAGGCTGCATGCTTTTCCATTTTGCCAAGATCTTTTAGCTGAGGGTTTAAGTTGCACAGGATCTACACTTTCATTTCGGCCTTAAGGAGACAGGTAATTTCTACGGCGCGGGTGATAGATGACCTAAAGTATAATGGTATCCTTAAGGATAGGTATTTACTGTACAAATGTATTAACATGAAGTGGTCTTTGTGTTGTAGATTAAATCAGTTTGAACAGAGGGGTAAGCAGATGCATGTTTAATTCTTTTATGCAAAACACAAAGGCAACGGAATCAATCATAGGCTGTGAAA